CAGACCAGAGTCAGACATATATTAATAATAATAGTAGTTATTAATAATTCAATAATAAGAGTAGTAGTAGTAATAATAATAATAATAGTGAATAAAACAAAACAATATTTTTACTTCTAAAGGACCACAATAATGTTTTTGAATTATCTTCAGTATATTGTGTCTTGAGTCCACAGTCAGTTCAAAGAAAGAAATCTATAATAATAATAATTATTATTATTGTTGTTGTTGTTGTTATTGTAAATAAAACCGATTAAGTAAGGCCGATTAACCGGCTTAAGGGCCTTTTTGTCATTGCTTTACTGCTACAATAATGTCTTTGAATTGTTCATCCTCATTAATGCAAAGCATGTTTTTTTTGGGTCCAGTCAGTCCAAAGAGAGATATACATGAATTTATTATCATTATTATTATTACAATTATTATTATTCATTTTAAAGAAAACAATATTTTGACTTTTAAATAGCCTTTTTTGTACCTTACTTGGCTGCCACAGTAATGTATTTAAAATATCCTAATATGGTAAATATTGACAACAAGCTATTATTTGCATTGAATTTGATACAAAAGGTGTTGCAGGAAATTTATTTCATTCATTTTAATAGATTGACAGCACTAATAAAAGTATTTGAAAATTTTAATTTGACCATAACAAATAACTAATCCATGGTATTTAGTACATCAAATCGTGTTGTTCTGCGTCCCTAAGAGTCAGCTGATATGGTCGTTCGCTCTTCTCTCCTCACATCAGTGTAGCTTAGCGCTCCATATCAGCATTAACAGACAAGGAATGGGAAGGAAAAAGAGCCGAGCTCTTATTTCATTGTGACAAATGTGTCAGGACACCTTCAACACGACACTTACCGCCCTCGTCCCGTGCTCAGTGGGTCAACCAAAGACATCAGCCTCTGACAGATTTCTTCATGGCCCATCTCCCTCAGTGTGCAGATCCGCTTAGCCGTGTGACATGAGAGCTGGCCACAAACCAGACACACTTTTAACACCAGGTCTAGGTTTTGGAGGGGAACTTGAACTTGAAATATTAAGACACAATTGCCTATACGATGGCATTTTAATTCATCATAAATAAATCATCATCATACAAATTCTATGGCAGCATTGCATAGATCCTTCCCAGAATGCAGAACTCAGTGAAAAATACCAATTGTGAATGAAGCGAGTGAAACGTTAATTGTATATGAACTTATATTTCATTTAAAACTGAAAAGTTTTAATAAAAACACTTCAGACTAATGAAAAATGGATCATTTTAATCAATATTTGTGTGTGCTATGCATTTTTATGCTTGAGTGTCACGTTATATCAAACTCAAAGTGGTCCCCAGCAATTGTTTGTACCTTATTTAATCCATAAAAATTTGTTTTGTTGGTGTAAACTAATGCATTTCGGTTAAATAATGCTTTTGAGTTAAATAGATGTTATTTCATCTGGTTTATTTCATCTTTCATAGGGAATACTATGACATGCAGAGTTGCTCCCTATGTAGACTGAGGCGGTTCCCTAGGTTTTGGAACAGATTTAGTATATTATATTTACGAAATGTATTGAATACAAACTGTGTAAGTTTGACGAGCAATGTGTAAATGATCACAATAATTTGGCAGTAGAACAGGCATTTTAACTCTCTGAATTAGTTTATTATTATGAATTTGTTTGTTTTGTCTTTCTTTATGAGAGCTCTCCCAAATCATTTCACAGAGGTATTTTCTTTCTCACATTAATCATGTACCTGCCATTAAAACGAGAGCCTATGAGTAATTGAAACGTTAATCACCTGCTACGCTGAGCGGTACTTCAGGATTGATGGTCAAAGATGTGAATCAATACAGACTTTCAGTGCCACCACTGCAAAATAAGCAACACCGTTTGTTGTAAATCTGTGATAATCAGAGGCCTCTCAAATGCCTGTCAGATCAAACAGACTGCGTGGATTACAGCCAGTACACACACACACACACACACACACACACATACATACATTAGCATTCACTCACACAAGGCAGACCTCCTACAAGAGCGTTCCTTTATTGATGTCATAAATAAAGTCAAACTGAATGTGAAAGAAAAGGAATGTATCATGTGACAATATTGTTTTTGGTATAAAAGAGTGATTTCCCCCCCTGAATTTATCATTTAATTTCCTTGCTTTATGTTTATGTTTTTGTTGGAGCTATTATTAATATAAATACCTAATATATATATATATATATATCTCTGTGGTGTGTGTGTGTGTGTGTATAAGAAAGAATAAATAATTTTATTCAGCATGGATACATTAAATTGATCAAAAGTGACAGTAGACTTAGATTTATAATGTTACAAAAAATATAAAAAATAAATAAAGAATAAGTAATAAAGAATAAATAAATTATAAAAAATCAGGATATTAGAATGATTTCAGAAGGATTCTGAAATAATAATAATAATTATTATTATTATTATTATTATTATTATTATTATTATTGAGTCTTCCCCACAGCTTATGGATGTTTCTGTGTGGTGGGTGGTAATGGACTCCTACAATATTCTTTTGAAATCATCTTATTAAATGCTGCTATGTTACCATAATTCAGACTTTTTGTTTTCAAGCACACTCTAAGTAAGTGCAATTATCCTGATAGAGTGCTTCAACACCTTTGAAACAACTTGCGGTAAATTGCCTCACTTAATGCCATGCAGGCATTGGTCATATGAAGAACTAGAACATTAGAACTGATGCCTTGAGGTACTACATCAACATCACTTGTTAACACAACAGGGTTGCAATCCCTACTTGTTTTATTGCACCATCATTTTTGACCATTTTTATAGATCGAAATGTAGAGTGTTTGAGGTTGCTGATGAGTTTCCATGAGCGGATTCTTAGCTGCTTATTTAGGCAGTAGAGAATGGGGCCATTTACGCTGAGCTAATGAGAGAAAAACACAGTTTGATATAAGAAATGCTATGATATTACAGAGTTCATAACCAAGACATCAACAGGTCTCTTTCATATAGTTTTCTTTCAGAGAGAGAGAATAGTCAGTGCTGGAAAAAGAAGTGAATTTGGAGTTGAAGGGATCCCATGAGAGTATGTGTCTGAATGGGTGTGAATAACTGAATAACTTAGATACACACTCAGTGCTGTCATCTCGCTCCTCACAAGAGACAATCCCAGCTGATAATGTCTCATTGAGACTTTACGCATGGCTTTGTTTAAGGGACATTGTCTGAAAAGCCTCTGCGATAACATCAGATAACTGTTGGTTCTGCATCTTCGCTGAATCCCCAGGAGCTTCTAAAGGGCACAAGGACTGTATGTTTGCTAAGAGGTCAAGGTTTGGCTGTTAGCATGGTCCAGTTAACTATTGCCAGTAGATGCCATAACCATCTGAGTGTGAAAAGCTTCTTGAATGTCCATTCAAAGGTTGCTGTGTATTCTGATGAAAGAAACATAATTTCATTATATTGTAGTATAATATGATTTCATTATATTATAGATTTTCAATTTAATTTAAGGAAGAATGGTAAATTGCAAATCAAATAACATTTATGTATACACTTATTAGAAATATTTATGTTATTAGATATATATTTCCAATTTAATTTAAGCAAGGATGGTAATTTAGAAATTCAGCAAATTGTAAATTAATGTAATTGTGTACATTTATATAGTAATTTGATTGCAACTGCATTCTTATAGGAAATATTTTTTTATTTTACATTTTAAATTGTATTCATATTTATTTTCTTATTTATATTAGTATTCAAATTGGAAGCATTTATTTATTCAATATATATTTCCAATTTAATTTCAGCAAGAATAGTTATTTAGAAATTCAGTAAATTGTAAATTAAACAATGTAATTGTGTACATTTATGTAATCATTTTTTATTATAACGGCATACTTAAAGGGAATATTTAATTTATTTGTAATATTTATTGTTTAATTTTTAATTTATATTTTATTAAAATGAGATATATATATATATATCCTTTAGAAATATTTTGTTTTCATTATATATGTTGCTGCATTCTTAGTTTTTTCTTTTTAACCTGGTTAAATAAAGGTTTACTACTAGTAGTAATGTGCATACATTTTGACCATCTTTTTTGGTTTGTTTAGTTAAAAAGTAAGCAGATATGTAATGAAATCAATGCATTTATACGATACACATTACATATGCTTGAACAGCATCAATGAAAACACTTGCAAAGATTTCAAGAGTCTGGAAAAATGTGTTTGAGTGAATAGAATCAAGGAGAAGGACACAGGAATGCAATACATATTTTCTCATACAGTTCAATAATTTATTGACTCTGCCAAGACAGGATAACACCCCCACCACCAAAGCTCATTCAAGGCTTCTGAGAAGACCCTTGACACAGAGCTTGTCGGGAAATTGGACAAGTTCAAGTCTGTCTCTCTCAGTGATTCTGAATTATTGAACCAGCCCAAATCTGCCTCCTCTTTTTCGTCTTCTCCTTTATTCAGCTTTCACCCAGCTTCAGGTCGCAGTGCTGTCACTACAGACATTGCAGTTCAATGAGGACAGAGATGCACTGCTAATTGGACATCAGAAATGAAGTCTCTTAGATGAAGTGTGTTTCTGTTAAGGATTTTATTTGATGTATTTTTGGGTTGCAGGACAGTAAAGATGTGAGGAACTATTGGACATGTCAACATCGATGTAGATTCACATCTCATTTGTGTCCGAAAGATTGTCCAGTGCAATGATCAATTTATGTGCTGTGCTTCTTTTCATTGTTCACCACTGACTGAGCCAGAGAGTGAGTGTGATTGAGCAAGTAAACACTTGATTAATGTAGTAACTGGCTAGTGAACCTCTCTTCTAGCTTCACTTATCTAAACGTTCTGTCGTAGCAAATTCTCCCATAATAAATGACTGTAGGATCTGAGCACTGCCCCACAGAGAAGCTCTGACAGCCCAGCCGTGCTGAGATTTGACAACAGGCCTCTTGTGTTTCCACTCCGCAGTTTGACATGCAACAGATGTCCCTGGAGGAGCTCAAACACGTCCTGTTCCACGCCTTCAGAGACCATCTCACCATGAAGGACATCGAGAATATTATCGTCACCGAGGAAGAGAGCTTGAAGGAGAACTCAGGAAACTGCCAGACCGAATTTCAGGGAGGTAAATAGCAAAGTGAACAATTTCATGTTAATTGACGGATCCCGCAACAATTTGTTAAACTCGCGCTGATTCAAGTTTACAGACTCTGGAAACTTTGCAAAGCTCCGATGAGGTGATGCTTAAAGTACTGCCAGTAACTCGAGAATTCAGTTCTGTATGAATACTACTGAAAATAATACTTAAAGGGAATATTTAATTTATTTGTAATATTTATTGTTTAATTTTTAATTTATATTTTATTAAAATGAGATATATATATATATATATCCTTTAGAAATATTTTGTTTTCATTATATATGTTGCTGCATTCTTAGTTTTTTCTTTTTAACCTGGTTAAATAAAGGTTTACTACTAGTAGTAATGTGCATACATTTTGACCATCTTTTTTGGTTTGTTTAGTTAAAAAGTAAGCAGATATGTAATGAAATCAATGCATTTATACGATACACATTACATATGCTTGAACAGCATCAATGAAAACACTTGCAAAGATTTCAAGAGTCTGGAAAAATGTGTTTGAGTGAATAGAATCAAGGAGAAGGACACAGGAATGCAATACATATTTTCTCATACAGTTCAATAATTTATTGACTCTGCCAAGACAGGATAAATCCCCACCACCACCAAAGCTCATTCAAGGTTTCTGAGAAAACCCTTGACACAGAGTTTGCCGTGAAATTGGAAAAGTTCAAGTCTGTCTCTCTCAGTGATTCTGAATTATTGAACCAGCCCAAATCTGCCTCCTCTTTTTCGTCTTCTCCTTTATTCAGCTTTCACCCAGCTTCAGGTCGCAGTGCTGTCACTACAGACATTGCAGTTCAATGAGGACAGAGATGCACTGCTAATTGGACATCAGAAATGAAGTCTCTTAGATGAAGTGTGTTTCTGTTAAGGATTTTATTTGATGTATTTTTGGGTTGCAGGACAGTAAAGATGTGAGGAACTATTGGACATGTCAACATCGATGTAGATTCACATCTCATTTGTGTCCGAAAGATTGTCCAGTGCAATGATCAATTTATGTGCTGTGCTTCTTTTCATTGTTCACCACTGACTGAGCCAGAGAGTGAGTGTGATTGAGCAAGTAAACACTTGATTAATGTAGTAACTGGCTAGTGAACCTCTCTTCTAGCTTCACTTATCTAAACGTTCTGTCGTAGCAAATTCTCCCATAATAAATGACTGTAGGATCTGAGCACTGCCCCACAGAGAAGCTCTGACAGCCCAGCCGTGCTGAGATTTGACAACAGGCCTCTTGTGTTTCCACTCCGCAGTTTGACATGCAACAGATGTCCCTGGAGGAGCTCAAACACGTCCTGTTCCACGCCTTCAGAGACCATCTCACCATGAAGGACATCGAGAATATTATCGTCACCGAGGAAGAGAGCTTGAAGGAGAACTCAGGAAACTGCCAGACCGAATTTCAGGGAGGTAAATAGCAAAGTGAACAATTTCATGTTAATTGACGGATCCCGCAACAATTTGTTAAACTCGCGCTGATTCAAGTTTACAGACTCTGGAAACTTTGCAAAGCTCCGATGAGGTGATGCTTAAAGTACTGCCAGTAACTCGAGAATTCAGTTCTGTATGAATACTACTGAAAATATTTTCATATGATCAGTTTTTCAGAAGCCTAGAAGTATTTTTCTACACAGGCATTTCAAAAATTCTTCAATAAAGAGTTTTAAGCCTTAAACCAAACCAACTAGCTCTGAGTTAAATCACAGCTTACAAACTTCTTTATCAAATACTTTTTGGATTCAAATAAGGTACAAGAATGTGTATATAATGTATTTTATGAGATAATGAAGTACTCCTCCCATGAAACATTAGAAATGATGTAATTGAATCAAAAACGATGATATATAAAATTGACTCATATATAAAATTATTGACTCATTGTCATTTATAATAATTAAGTACAATATCACATATATTTAAATTTATATATAAAAATAGATATATTTACATTTTATTACAAAGAATATAATTATATATAAATAAGTAGCAAGAGTATAGTTGATAATGCCATTTGCAATGCATTCTCGCTCAACAGCGACTTCCTTGATTGGTGGATCTAATAAGGAACACGTTTTTTTTTCAATTATGCTAAGATCACAGACTTTAAGCTTCTACAGAAGCATGTATCATGGTGCAATATAAACTTTTTTAACTTATAGTCATTTATTAAAAAATACAATATATTAAATTAATTAATTTAAAACAATAATTATAAAAAAAAAAATGAAATTAAATATATTTAAATTTGATTGCAAAATGCTTAATTATAGATAGTAGTAAGAATGTAGTCAGTATGTCACTCACAATGCTTTATGGAAGTGATAGCGACTTCTCTGATTGGTCGATCTAATGGATACTTTTTATATTAAAGGGGTGGTTCATTGCGATTTCACTTTTTTAATGTTAGTTAGTGTGTAATGTTGCTGTTTGAGTATAAACAATATCTGCAGTTACGAAGCTGAAAGTTCAATGCAAACAGAGATATCGTCTTTTAAAATTCTGGCAGTTTAATGCCTACATGACGCCGTTGTTTACAATACAACCGGAGCACATGCCGCTGAGGTGAGGGGCGGGATGTTTAGATGCGCACTAGAGGCGGTTTAGCCAATCACAACACACTGGGCTAGCTAACCAATCAGAGCCCATTGCCTATTTCTGAGGGAAGGGCTTCATAAAAGCAGGAAATTGATCAGCGCGTTTCTCAGAGAAGGGACAGAGAGGTGTGGAATAAAGGTAAATTATGTGAAAAATAATGCGTTTTTAAAAAAAACGAAGCATTAACACATGTTAGACTGCACCCCATAAACACGATCAAGCCTAGAAAAAAAACACTGAACCACCCCTTTAAGCTGAAATCGCATTGACTTTTGGCTTTTACAGAGCCATGTATTATATCTATAATTGACTTGTAGACATTTATTGTAATTATACAAATTAAATTAAATCTATTTAAATTTATTTAGAAAAATGTTTAATTACAAATAAATAAATAATTGGTGTAGTGGGAGTGAGAGGGTGCTGTGTTCTCATTTCCATGGTAACATCAACTCCTCTGATTGGTTCATCCAATGAAAAGTTTGCTTTTTTAAATGAAGCTGAAATCACATTGACTTTTGGCTTCTAAAGAAGCATATATCATAGCATATATCATTGCTTAACAATATCAGAGCTTATAGAAGGTCTTGAAAGGTTTATATGTTATCATTAAAAATTCATTTCTTTATGGATTTTTACTTCTGGAGCCCCGACTATTATGCTCTATAGCCTGATGTGTTTGCCCAGAAACTGGCCATTTAATAAGATGAGAGTTCTGTGCTCTCAGTGCATTATAGGTTTTCTTTGGAATGAAAAGCATCTGATAAATGTAATATTTTCCTTACTTCCAGCATTGGTTACTTTTGAATTTCACCCGCTTTTGAAGTATTATTGAACCAGATGTTTTCATCAGCCAACAGAAGTAAAAGGAATGAATGGAATTCTGAAACAGGGAAAATATCGTAAAGACTTCTATCCAATTATGTTTCAGCAGTTCAATATTTAATCTCAATATGCAGCACAGAATAACAACACAAACTGAATGGATGTCGGCCCGAGAAAAAAGTGAATAAAAAAGAACAATTTCATGCCTCAAAATCCAATTAGTCTGTCACAATGTTTTAAAATATATGCTTTATTGGCCCACACTGTGCCCTTAAACAGTTTCCCCTGAATATTTATTTCTGTCTGTCTGTGTGTGTGTGTGTGTGCAATCATGCGTGTGAGGCAGCTCAGCATAGCCACACGTTTTGTTTCATTATTGTTTATTTTCAAAGCCTCATTATGCACAGAGATCAGCAGCGCTGCTGGATCATTGTTTGGATGGCTTATGCTCATGGTGTGCTGTAATCTCTTCTCATTGATGCTCTTCTGTGTGCCTTTCACATATGCTCTGTTCTACTCCATCAGTGCATTCGAAAAAGAAGAATCGTCAGACGTGTGTCCGCAAGAGCCTCATCTGCGCTTTTGCAATGGCCTTCATCATCAGCGTCATGCTTATCGCAGCCAATCAGATGTTACGGAATGGCATGGAGTAGCCCCGCCCACTGTGAACCCTGCTTGATCTGACCTCTCTTAAGAAACATGCATCAAAAACTCCACTTTCTTTTAGTTCGAAGAGTGTGGGGAGCAGAGGATGTGAATCCCTAGAGCGAGTTTTGTTTTTTATATTTATTATGGCGATTGTGATTGTGGCAGACTCTGAAACGGCAGTGAGGGATGTTCTCTACCATCAGCTTGACAGGGACATGCAAGGGCTCCTCACTGGATACCATTTAATGCAATAACATCCTGTGTCCCTCCGCGCTGTGTGTTTTTCTCATTCCCTGTCTTTGAAATGTGACGACTTTGTACTTTATCTCACTCCAAGTCATGTCAGATGGGACCGATGAGGAGTGATTGGCAGCCAGTCCAATGGAGCCGCTGCCGGATGTCTGGCATCAAGAGCGTGTTCATGCTCATCTCAAATGCACTGTACGTTTTGTTCACAGCATTGCATTGTTGATGCTTATTTATGGAGTTTATTGAAGATATTGTTTAATGTTGAAGGGACTGTGGGTATTTTTGGAATAGCATACTACCATACTATTACTTTTACAGTATGCAGTTTACTGTGTACAGTATGCAAAGAAAATCACAAATGAACAAAATATACAGGATACATCAGGGTCTGCATTGAGTACTGTATCCCCCAGTGCATATTGACCTTTTGAGTGTGATCAACTAGAAACTATTTCAGCTGATTTTTTTTCTCCTCCTTTGATTGGACCATCAATACTAAAGGGATTTTACATTGGATTAAAAAATGCAAAATAACCATATTTTTGGGCAAATTTATTTATATTGCATATATGCTTTGCATTAGCATAACTGAGAGAGAGGGAGAGAGAGAAACTAAATAGTAAAATTTTTAAATTATTTAAGAACATAATTATGATTCAGGAAAGAAAAAAACATAAAAGTAATTAAAGTTTCATTTAAAATGATAATTGGCAGCTGCTGAATTAAACATGCAATGTGATCAAATTAAATAAAAACAACATAAAATATTAGTCTAAAACATTTATCATTGCATGCTTTTTTATTATTCAACATTCAACCGTTTGGGTTCAGTAAGAGTTTGGGGGAGGTGCATTTAGTTGATCAGTTGTGACAATTATGACATTTATAATGTTATAAATGATATTCTGATCTATACAGAGTCCTGCATGACATGTGGGAATATATGTGACCCTGGACCACAAAACCAGTCATAAGGGTCAATTTTTGAATAAATAAGCTTTCCATTGATGAATGGTATGACCTGAAATTTGTTCTCTCATTTCAGTTAAATTGTGGCCACGAAAGAAGAATTTGTTGGCTCGTTTTAGTAATTTGTGGCCACGTTGTACTAATTCATTGCCTTGGTTTGATAATCAAAATGAGGAAATGAATTAATACAGCGTGGCCATTATTTACTAAAACAAGGGAACAAAAAAAATAAGGCCATCTGGCCACGATTTACCTAAAATGAGAGAATGAAGGAAATAAATTTTATTAAAATGAGGGAACAAATTCTTCATTCGTGGACATGGTAAATATACAGTATTTATGTCCGCATATCATGTGCGGAGCAACATAAATCCATTTCAAATAAATTCTGTTCTTTTGAACTTCCGTCATCAAAGAATCTTGAAAAAAATTGCATCCCTCTTTCAACAAACATATTAAATAGCCCAACTGTTTTCTGATTGATAATAATAAGAAATGTTTCTTCAGCAGCAAATCAGCATATTAGAATGGTTTCTGAAGAATCTTGTGTCACTGAAGACTGGAGTAATGGCTGCTGAAGATTCATGAATAAATTACATTATAAAACAGTTCTTTTAAATTGTAATAATATTTCACAATATCATTGTATTTTTGTCAAATAAATGCAGCCTTGGTGAGCGTAAGCATCTTCTTTCAACTTTAACAATCTTACTGACCCCAAACTACTCCCCAGTGTAAGCGGAAGCAGACTGATTTCTCATTGTTTGCTATATAATTTGAGTTACAAATGCATTGTGGCTTTCCATATTCTGCAAAGCAAGTGGAATTCAATTAAATTCCACACAACTCCATTTTGCGATACACCTTGTGCATTATGGGTAAACAGGATCATTTTTGTAATGAAAATTAGAAGTCTGTTTCAATCGTGCCATTACCCAATCTCTCATTTTGTGTATCTAAACAAAAGAAGAGAGTATAATACTCTCTTTGATTTAAAATATACTATCAAGGTCTTCTAAATGTCTGCATATATTGTCTGGTTCAAATATATGACACTGAACTTCTGCGGAAGTGTCTATGCTACATAGTTGGACTTTTTGGTCCATTTTGAGTTTTTATTTACTCTCAGGCTCAAAGAGTCAGTGAATGCAACACAAATTGCTCTGAATCAACCAGAAGTAAACTGGTCAGTCTCTAAAATAGCACTTTTTCTTTTACAGTTACAGTCTGTGTGTAATATAAATATTTGTCTACCTGTTTGTCTATGTGTTTATAATGTGTGTGCACATCAATCCCCTTCCCTGTGTTCCTTATTATTGTGTATACTTACAGCCGTTTGTCACGATCCCTTGGATATTGCATGTGTATTTATGCATATAGTGCCACACAAAAGAGTCGTCTTTGGATTGTCTGTTTGACTGTGTCATGTTTGCATGTTCAGAGCACTAATAGAGTGCTTTTCCAAGGTCTGTACTGCTTGCAGGCATTTGCTGAGAGCATCAGTCTGAATGTCTGAACTCCCATTGTTTTCTTCATGTGAGCAAATCTTATATGAAACAGTACCAGCATTCTGTGCCAAAATACACCGTAAAGGAAAAGCGGATTATTGGGAAGCGTTTACTGGACAAAGTTCCTGTCAGTTTTCCAGAATGTCACAGAATGGCTTGATTGAGGACTGGTGTGTTTTATTCCGTCAGTCTGTGGATCGAGGATACTTCCAAATCAATGGCCCCATCTAGTGGGCTACTCTGAATATTTGATGTAAAAATTGTGACATGACAGAGGTAATACTTTTTTAACATTGTGAAGTGACATTAGTAAAAAAGAAATATTACTTAAAGAAAGAAACAAAGGAACCTTTACCAAAAAGAAGTTGGAAACGGGAGTGGAATACAGTGTAAATTCCATATATATCCATTTAAAGTGTTGCACCTTGTTATTTTAATAATATAAGCCTAGTTGTTCACTATTTCTTTCATTTATAACAAAGGCAGATTAGTGGACTAAAGTTTAAAAATGTCTTGCATTATTTTTACTAGCCATTATTCTATGTATCCCCCTGCTTGTTGCCATCGTCATCTGCATTCTCCTAAAATTACACTCTAGTTTATGGGCATTTTGGATATATAAATTGGTAAAGGTTTTATTGTATTTTATATTTCGTTGATTAATAATATTTATGTTTTCTATTTTTATGTTTTTTAATCTTGCACAGGTTGATGGAATTTTTAATTTAATTTAATATCAATCCAGATCCTAACTTCATCTGAATTTGAAGCATGCCAAATACAATTTTATATGTATGTATTTTTATGGAGTATATCAAGAGAAGGATTATTAATATTCAAAACCGTATACATATTGCATGCAGGATGTGGATTGACAGATTATAGCAATATGGGTTCTAAACAAAAATGTATCATTACATGTAAAGATTATGAAGAAATAAAAGAAAGTTATTTATTGAACATGACAATATATGTCTTTGCATCCAATTACTGATATAATGATAATTTATTTAATAATATTTTTTGTTATTGTTGTTGCCTAGGCCAGTAGGGGGAAGATTTAGATTTTCTACCTATAAGACTAAAATTCTGTTTACATACTGTCAGTTTTTGAACCACTTCATAAGCATGTCAACACCAGTGAACCCAGTGTTACTTGTACAAGTGACAAATAATCTATTGATTTTCTGATAAATGATAAAAAAGCAGCACCATTAATGAATAAACCAGTCTTGACCTCTTTAATTTAAAGGATCTACAAAATAGCATGTTTACACAAACCATCTGTCTGAGGTAATGAACTCTAAAGGCTGTTTAATACTTCAAAATCTGTACTAATGATTCTCAGTTGGTACTGTGTAGGTATTGTATTACAAGTCAAATGGTATACAGCTGTGACCCCAACAATGTAAACAGAAAAGAAGTTTACAGGTCACTTCAAATTTTACAGCAGCTACAGTATATGTGATCACGGTAAATGTGTAAAAAGGCACTTGATGTCATTTCAACTATACATTTAGAGATGTAAATTTAAAAATGATGTTGCATGTAATATTCAGATGTGCAAGTATGATACTGATAGGGAGTATAGGAGCTTATAAGTTATAAGAAACTCACAGCTTCCTTTAGAAAAATAGCCTAAAACATCATTACATAGCACCACATAACTGCAAGTACCTCAATGAGATTAATGTTAATACTGCTGCAACATAAAATAGCATTTCTGCTGTAGTATTTCCAATCTGAGGTCAGCATCAAGCAATTCAAGTGAATTCCAGCTTGTTCGGTGTGCAATCAATCTATATTTGCCAGGTTTTAGATTTAAAAGTATTTAATTTTTTTAAAAGTATTTTTAATTTTTTTTTGAGAACAGTTGTGGGCTAATTTTATAACTTAAAGATTTAATGATGTTCTTTTTAAATTAAATATTACTTGTGCAAGATGCAAATAGATGGCCATGATGTTTCTATATTAATGGCCATTGGATATTCTCAAAGGTGTGCACAAAACTTTCATGCAGCAAGTTAAAACTTTGTGTTAAAACACTGAACTTTGCATTATAATTATGAAATCTGTAAGTGTGTGGAATTAACTTTAAAAATTGCTAAAAACAAATGCTAAAAGTGTTTTTTTTCCTGCATTCCAAAAATCAAAACTTTTTTTTAATTTAAATTTCTGTTTGTCTTATTATACACTACCTTTTAAAGTTCGGGGTCAGTACAAATTTTCAAGTTATTGAAAGAATTCTCTTATGCTCACCAAGGTTGCATTTATTTTATCTTGTTCTTCAATCTTGTGAGCAGCCACTACTCCAGTCTTCAGTGTCACATGATCTTTCAGAAATCATTCTAATATGCTGATTTGGTGCTCAAGAAACATTTCTTATTATCATCAATGTTAGTAACAGTTGTAATGCTTAATATTTTTGTCGAAACCTTAATAATCCTTATTGACCCCAAACTTCTGAACAGTAGTGAATGCTGTGCAAAATAAAAGCATATGCTTAAAAGAGTGTCAAAAATGACCATGAGGCACAGTTTGATTATGAAACTGTTTTTCATAACAGCTCAAGGCTCCTCTTCTGGACCAGTACGTAAAGAAAAAAACAATAGAAATCTATAAAATGAAGAGTCCAGCAGATTCAGCTTGTATGAAGCGTTTCATTAAAACTCAGTATGTAATACATGGCTGAAATCCCTGGATCCAGTCTCACTGGGTTTCATGAAGACGCCCTCCATTGTTTTCCAGTAGCTGTGTGAGCTGCTGACCATCATGCCATGCACTTCTCTCTGGCCGTGGATGGGTCTGCCGTACTGTTCCCCTGTCACAGACAGCAGAGCCTCAGTGGCCGTGTGGCGGAACCGAACGGACTCATCCCGCTGCCACACAGAGCCTGCACACAGAACGGTCCACTCGTCCAGATGGTCACCCTCGCCGTTCTCACCAAAGGCACTGACTTCCTAAATGGGAAAAGTTTTTGAGTAAAATTCATACATTACAGTGTGTGTTTAAAAAGATGAAATATTAAAACCTGATTTGAAGAAAGAGGAGAGGTAAAGTAGTGGCTGTGTAGATTGCGGCCTGTGTTCACATGGGTTAATCGGATGTTCTGTCCACACTGTACCAGAGTCCCTCGATGACATGCAGCATCACTGGTGCCTCGCACACTCCAGTAACTGTTACTGTCCTCCGCTGCGGTCACACCGGTCACTGACTGCTGACCACTACCTGGAATTAACATTAAAGGGGTCATATGATGCGATTTCATTTTTTCCTTTCTTAATTTGATCAAAAGTAAAAAATAAAAACATTAATCATGTTACAAAAGATTTCTATTTCAAATAAATGCTGTTATTTCAAACTTTCTATTCGTCAAAGAATCCTGAAAAAAATGGTTTCCACAAAATATTAAGCAGCACAACTGTTTTTAACTTTGATAAGAAATGTTTCTTAAGCAGCAAATCAGCATATTAGAATGATTTCTGAAGGATCATGTGACACTGAAGACTGGAGTAATGATGCTTTGACCACTACCTGGAATTAACATTAATAGATCACAGAGAGATGCTGCTTCTTCTCCTCCTTTTTTTAGAAAAAAAATCAATACTTTTATTCAGCAAGCATGCATTAATTTGATCAAAAGTAAAAAATAAAAACATTAATCATGTTACAAAAGATTTCTATTTCAAATAAATGCTGTTATTTCAAACTTTCACAGAGAGATGCTGCTTCTTCTCCTGCTTCTTTTTTTAGAAAAAAAATCAATACTTTTATTCAGCAAGCATGCATTAATTTGATCAAAAGTAAAAAATAAAAACATTAATCATGTTACAAAAGATTTCTATTTCAAATAAATGCTGTTATTTCAAACTTTCTATTCGTCAAAGAATCCTGAAAAAAATGGTTTCCACAAAATATTAAGCAGCACAACTGTTTTTAACTTTGATAAGAAATGTTTCTTAAGCAGCAAATCAGCATATTAGAATGATTTCTGAAGGATCATGTGACACTGAAGACTGGAGTAATGATGCTGAAAATACAGCTTTGCCATCAAATCAATAAATTACCATTTAAAATATATCAAATTAGAAAACAGCGATTTTAAATTGTAAAAATATTTCACAACACTGTTTATACTGTATTTTTGAACAAAGAACTGCTGCCTTTAAAAAAAAAAATCTTACCGACCCCAAACAGTGTATGCTTTTAACCCTATAGAGTATTTACAAACTAATAATATAATGTTTATTTAATGGATTTTTAAATTAAATTGTTGTTAATTATATTTTATAACACCTCGAATGTTTATATTACTGCCAGCCTTTATGAATGAGAGTCACTCACCAGATCCATAGCGGACATCGTGAGAGTGTAATCTGACGTTGTGTTTCACATTGACCAGCTTCACCACCGACCCGCACGTTACTAAATTAATTTCACTGCCGGAGGACAATGTAAACATACATGACAATAATACTGTTATAGGGAACTGGACCCGCAAAAATCCCAAACTGTCCATGGCTTGCTAAACCCAATGGAAAAACTAAGCGTTAAAAACCCTACATGACGTCACATTGAACGCATGAAGCAATAAAATATAGAGCGCCGTCTTCAGGCTCGGAGACACAACATTGTCGGGTACTTGGGTAAAAGATAAAAACCTATACAGTCTATGGAAAAACCATAGACTGTATGGTAAAAACGATATTTAGGTTGTTTATATTTCTTGTAAAATCTTATTTTAAAATGGTTGAAGTGCTAGTTTAACTTAGTTAGTTTACTTATTTTGCACCAGGAAAGTTTACTATAATTTGCCCCTGAAAGATATGTAACATTTTACAATAAGGTTCAAATGAACATTAGTTAACTACATTAGCTAACCTGAACTAACAATGACAAATAATTATAACCTATTTATTAATCTTAGTTAATGTTCATTTTAACATTTACGAATGCATTATTTATTAAATATCAGCAAATGGATTCATCCTGGCCGGAAGTTAACTATGTGTATACCGGAACCAGAATCCCGACAGTAACTCTCAGCCATTTTTTGTTGTCATTATCAAGCTTCTTCAAAAGTGACGCTTCGTTCTTCATCTCAGTGCATATTTTCAAGTCTTTAGTCGAGCCTCCTCGCTAGGAAAAGTAAGTGCGCGTTCGTGTTCGATGTTTCATTTCAGTCAAGTATTTTTAAAAGAGTCAGAAAAGCCTTGGGTTGTTTTTCTTAGCGTACAGGCTAGCTTTTAGCATGAGGGCCTTGAGTTCTCACAGTGCCACGGACAGAGTCGTTACGTAATTATTTAACAAACAAACAGTTTTGTTACTGTTTACGTTTATTCATCGCTAGCATTCTGGGTATTTCTTAGTAGTTATAATCTTCGTATTTACGCGTCCTAAATTCCTTGGCAAAGCTAAAAATCTTTTTTTTAATTTTTTTTTATATTGCAATTGAAAGAATAACAACAGTTATGAAGTAACATGGGGCTAACAGACATCATCACATGAAGTTAGACAAACTACACAAATTAACAAAATATACCAATGATAAAGAAGAAAAAAAAATTTAAAAAAAGAAAGAAAGGAAAGTCTTTTAAAGATAGCTTACAATAGACTCAAGAATGTTACAAGTTTTAGAAGCCTTTGAGTTCAAAGGATTTGACATATTCTTAAAAGAAGTAAAAAGGGACTTTATATCAGATGAAAACATTCTAAAGTTAGGTTTGCAATGAATGGTTCTGGCTTTATGAAGGTGAAATTTACCCAGAAGACAAAGCAATAAAACAATATGTTCCAGATTAATGTCCTTGGAATGAAAATCTGACAAAAAAATGATAGATTCTGTTATTTCTATCATTTTGTTACAGCAGGAAAAAATTAACATGGTAACTTCTGACCAAAAAGACTTGGTGAATGGGCAATGATAAAACCGATGTAGAATAGATTCTTCATCAGTATTACAAAATGAACACATTGAGGATATATTCTCAGAGAATCTGCTCAAAAATAAATTACAAGGGTAGTATCTATGAGCAATTTTGAAATGGAGTTCTTTAATTTTACTTGGGATAAATAGCCTGTGAGGAAAGGTCCATAAGTTTTTTAATTCAGAGTTCGGATAACAAATCCTCCATTTAGATTGTGCTTTAGAGGGGCATCCTGGAGTTGAAGAAAGAGCATTTCTAATAAAAAAGTTATTGCATTTTTTATCTAATACATAAACACCATTAAATGCAAGTGTAGGAAAATGGTTGTGTACACAGCCATAACATAAATGCGCTTGGCAAAGCTAAAAATCTAGCTAAGCGCATGGATCTCACGTTCATCTTGATGTGTGTTTTGAATAGAATACACAATTAGTATTCTGATGTTATATCTTATCATGTAAACATCTTACATCTAACATGTAAACATATAAATCAAATTAGACAGACAAAGTGCTGTTTTGAATATCTAGTTCAATAACAATCAAGTTAAGCCACCAGTGAAGCTAATCTTTGTCAGCCTTTTGTTTACTGCAAGACATGTGTCAGATGCATAACCTGTTTTTGTTATCATTACTGAACTGAATTTTACTGATTATGACAAGGAAATTGTAATATTGCCAATATGTCAATGCAACATTTCACTCTTTAATTGCTATGCATACTGCAAACCCTTTGAATGTCATACTATAGTCACAGCCATACTGTTAAAAAAAAAAGCTGTTTGAATTTTGACACAGGCCTTGCAAACATGTCTGACTTCATCGAGAGCGAGGCTGAGGAGTCAGAGGAGGAGTTCGAGGAGAAAGACCTGAAGCCCAAGAAGACACAGAAATTTATGGAAGATGATGGTAAGATGTTACCTACTTGAAGCCACATCCAGTGGAAGGCGTGAATATGATCAGAAATCACGTTTTAGAGTGCTACTGTTTAACTTTAATAATTCTTTTAACAGTTTTATCAGTTCTGTTGTTATTGGCACATTGTATCATTCCTTGTGTGTTGTGTTGTTTATGTCTCCAGAAGAAGAGGAAGAAGAGAATACTGAAGATCAGGATGAGCATGGAAACCTGAGAGGACTCATTGATGATGGCGATGTGGAAGAGGAAGAAGCACAAAGTGGGAGAGAGGATAGTGACTCCGGTGAAGAGGTCCGTCATCGCCGCAGGAAACGAAGTAGGTTACTCTGAATTTAAAACCATATTAATAAATCTTTCTGTGTTCTGGTGTTTTGACAATTCACTAGTGCATAATGTAGTTCTCAATAGGAATAGGGGAAATCAAATATTTACAATATTGTTATTTTGCTGGAGATAACAAAATAAAGGAATAGTTCACCTAAAAATGAAAATTTGTTGAAAACTCTCAGACCATCCAAGATATAGATAGAGAGTTTTTCTTCATTGGAGCAGGTTTGCAGAAATTTAGCATTACATCACTTGCTCACCAATAAATGCTGTCAAAATTTGAGTTCAAACAGCTGATAAATCATGACAATAATCCATATGACTCAAGTCCATCAATTAACGTCTTATGAAGTGAAAATCTGTGTTTATAAGATGAAAAATCCACAATTTTAACTTTAAACCGTTATTTCTGGCCAAAATCTGACTCCATAAAAAAGTGAAAGTCCATTTCCTGTTGTCCTCTTAAATGAAAATCCACCAATATATGTGTTTGGAACCATTTTGGACTGTTTTCGCTTGTAAACAGTGCTTAAAGGTGACATATCATGAAAATCAGACTTTTTACATTTAGTAAATGTGTTTGTATATATATTCTGTTTATGTATATACTGTATTCTATATATAGTACCAGTCAAATGTTTGGACACATGAATGGGAAAGTGTCCAAACTTTTGACTGGTACTGTACTATAATATACACAAAGAATATCGGCCGATATATCGATATCTGCCTTTTTTTACTCCCTCATATCGGTATCGGTATTGGCCCCAAAAACCCATATCGGTCGGGCTCTAGTCATTATACTACCATTGTGATAATTCCTTGTTTTGTGACTGAGTATGAAAGCACTAACACATTACAGCGTATAATAACATATATAATTTATACTTAAGTAGCAAAAACAGGTTTGAGTTGGTAAGTGTAGTTCAAACTTGATTGATTCACAACTGATTCAGTGGTCTGATTTAAAGTGCATTAAAAGTTCAATAGAAACATATATTGGTAAATGTTGTTAGTAATGTATGTATTATGAGTAAAGTATTGTTAGTTGGTATAAATATGAATAATATAATAGTGTGTAATATTTTTGGTGCTCATTTAATGAAAAATTGTGTGAGAAACATGTAATTACTAGGTGAACTAAATTTAAACCTTTTGCATCAATTATTTTGAATCACTTTTGCCAAAATTATAGTTCCTCTGATTGGAAAAAAACATAACTGTTGACAATAGGCAAAATGAAATACTGTTTTCTGTATTGCTCAACCTTTGTTCTCATTAAACAATGTGTGTTTGTATCTGTCAGGCTATGATGACTATCTGGATGATGATGATCTGGACCTCATCGAGGAGAATTTAGGAGTGAAAGTGAAGAGAAGGGTGAGTCACCGAACTTCCTGCCTGTGCTAAATTGCAGAATTTTAATTAATTTAACTGATACCAGTTAAATACTTAAGTTCAGTTTTGAACTTTTTGAATTGTTCAGAAAAAGAAGTACTCACGTGTGAAAACCATGGATGATGAGGGGGAAGATGATGAGAAAGACCTGATCGCTGATGAGATCTTCACTGGGGATGGTGATGGAGAGGTGGAGGATGGAGAGACTGTAGACACACTTCACCCTAGAGATGACGAAGAAGAGGAAGATGATGAGGAATCTGGTAGGAAAGACGTTTACCCTATTCATCATGGATTTGAATTTGGATACTAGAATTCTGTGGAATTTTGGTGATTTTTTTTTTCTTTAATCTTTGCAGATATTGATGATTTCATTGTGGATGATGATGGACAGCCCATCACGAAAAAGAAAGGAAAGAAATTCTCTGGCTACACTGATGCGTAAGTGGTGTAAACTGTAAACAGTGGTTTGCTTATGTAAATATGCACTTCTCTCTGAGGATATAATGGCCTAAATCCCTGATTTAAATGGCCTTCAACCCTATGACTTTGTCTCTAATGTTGCTCCTTTTTTGGCATTCTAGTGCTTTGCAAGAAGCTCAAGAGATATTCGGCGGTGATTTTGACTTTGCCGAGTTTGACACTGAGGCGTATGATCATGCAGAAGAGGAAGAGGAGGATCAGGATGATGAGTCATGGGATCGGCCAAAGAAGCAGACCAAGAGAAGAGTTGGCCGTCGTAGCATATTTGAGATCTATGAGCCCAGTGAGCTGGAGAGCAGCCACATGACCGATCAAGACAATGAGATCCGCTCCACAGACATGCCAGAAAGATTCCAGGTATAAATCAGTGTTAGCCTGCATATATACCTTTCATTTGCAGTATGCCGTCCCATGTGAAGGATATCAGAAACTTCTGCATGCCCTGTACCAGTGTGTTTCCTTTCATGGGTGGAAATGAGGATATTTCATAATTTCTTGTCATTTACAGTTGAGGGCCATCCCTGTAAAGCCTGCTGAGGATGATGAGCTGGAGGAAGAAGCTGAATGGATTTACAGGAATGCCTTCTCCACACCGACCATCTCCATGCAGGTCAGAACTGAATATTTGTATAACATGACTTTTGTTAGCATGTTGTCATGGCACTAAGCTAACTTTGATTCTTATTTTGTTTGATTTGCATTGCAGGAGAGCACAGACTACCTGGATCGTGGGACAACCACTAATTTCAGCAGAAAGGGCCCCAGTACTATTGCTAAAATCAAAGAAGCTCTGAACTTCATGAGGAACCAACACTTTGAGGTATAGTCATGGGGGGAAAAAAACAGGGTGTAATAAACCTGACTGACAGATCATCTGGTTTTATCTCTTCTCTCTTCCATCTTACAGGTTCCCTTCATTGCATTCTACAGGAAGGAGTATGTGGAACCAGAACTGAACATTAATGATCTGTGGAAGGTGTGGCAGTGGGATGAGAAGGTAAGGGCAAATCAAAATGTTCTCTGAATGCATTGTGGTTGCTGCTGCTGCTTTTTTTAAATATAAATTAATTATGGCTGTTTATGCTGTCCTCCTCAGTGGACTCAGCTGAAGACCAGAAAGCAGAACCTGACACGTCTTTTCCAGAGGATGCAGTCTTATCAGTTTGAGCAGATCTCAGCTGACCCTGACAAGCCACTGGCTGACTCGACTCGTCCCCTAGACACTGCTGATATGGAGAGGTATGACTACAAACCTAACAAACTTTCTAACATTTTATGCTGTGTCCACAGTATTCACTTGTTCTTTCTGCTTTAACAGGCTGAAAGACGTCCAGTCTCTTGATGAGCTGGGAGACGTCTACAACCACTTCCTGCTCTACTATGGCCGAGACATTCCTAAGATGCAGAATGCAGTCAAGTCCAACAAAAAGAAACTGAAAAAGATCAAGGAAGTGTCAGAGGAAGATGGTACAGCTGTGTTTTCTTTGAATAAGTTGTTAAAATAATGGTCAGCCATGCATTAGACTAAAACGGTTTATATTCTGCTAGGAGAAGAGGCAGAAGTGGAGGAGGAAGAGGAAGAAGAGGAGCAAAAGGGTCCAGATCTAAAACAAGCTTCCCGTAGAGATATGTACAGCATCTGTCAGAGTGCAGGCCTTGGTTTGTACATCTCACACAAAAATAAGACTATGTATTTTTTCTTTTATTTATTTATGCTGGCAGAGTCAAATGTGCCAAACATATTCCCTGGCAAAAAATATATAGTATTTTAGAATATAAACTTACAGCAATATTTTGATTGCATTTATACTAACATTTTGTGTCAGAGATATTTTTAACAATGTAACTGATATTGTACATAACTACAGTGTAACTCCATGAACGTGATGAATTCATACATACACTTTTCTTGTAAAATGATGGCATATGGTGACCTTTTTTTTTTTTAGACGGTCTTGCCAAGAAGTTTGGTCTGACCCCAGAGCAGTTTGGAGAAAACTTGCGAGACAGTTATCAGAGGCACGAAACCGAGCAGTTTCCTGCAGAGCCTTTGGAGCTAGCCAAGGACTATGTGTGCAGGTAGAGCATCATTGCAAACTTGAAATGGTTACTTATTAAAATAACTTCTGTATGCATGTCTTTTACCCACGGCTTATTGGAAGATCATAGGAGTTTTCATATTTATTCATAACTCAAATTTTTTCATAGCCAATTTAACACCCCGGAGGCTGTTCTGGAAGGCGCTCGCTACATGGTGGCCATGCAGATAGCCCGTGAACCTCTGGTTAGGCACGTGCTCAGACAGACCTTCCAGGAGAGGGCCAAGATTAACATCAAGCCAACTAAGAAGGGCAAGAAGGTTGGTACTTAGCGTTTGTTTATGAATTACAGACTTGCCTTATAATATGTGTTCTACCATTATTTCATTAACTGTTGTGTTTTTGTTTATCTTCTACTCTTTCACTTAACCATGTTCATCAAGGAAAGGGTATTAGCAGAATAGCAACCTTCCCACCCCAGCAGAGTTCTGTTGTGTTAGAGCTTTAGCTAGAATGTTCAGTTGGTGTATTTAGGTATGTAGGCAGCGTTTTTGCTGCGCTAATGTAGTAAACTTGTCCTTCTATTCAAACCCAGACTGAACTGATGTGCCAATGGCTGCATTGTTTGCTCGTTCATCAGTAATTCCACATCAGCTAATGTCTGTCATGTTTCCTAGGATGTGGATGAAGCGCACTATGCCTATTCCTTCAAGTATCTCAAAAACAAGCCTGTGAAAGAGCTCAGTGGAGATCAGTTCTTGAAGATGTGCCTGGCTGAGGAGGAAGGCTTGCTCACCATAGACATCTGCATTGACCTTGTGGGAGTCAAAGGGTATAGTTGTGTCCTGAAAATATTAGCTTGTGATCAAAACTTGAATTTAGCATCAAGAAACAATTCATGAGTTGTTAAGGATGGTTAGACAAGAGATACCGAGCAGTCCTGTTTGTCATCTCCACAGGTACGCAGGAGATCAGACCTACTTTGATGAGATTAAGCAGTTCTACTACAGGGATGAGTTCAGTCACCAGGTGCAGGAGTGGAACAAGCAGAGAACTCTTGCTATTGAACGTTCCTTGCAGCAGTTCCTGTATCCTCAGATGGCCAAGGAACTGAAAAACAAGCTTGTCACTGAAGCCAAGGACAATATTATTAAGGTGCCACATTGATTGCATGCATTGCATTACCTTTGAAAGCTAACAAAGCAATTTCTGTACCAAACTGTGGTCTATAACAAATTGATTTGTGTTTGTTGTGTCTGTGGTAGTCTTGCTGCAAGAAGCTGTATAACTGTTTGAAGGTGGCTCCTTATCGGCCTGATCAGCAGGTAGAGGAGGACGATGACCTTATGGATGAGTCGCAAGGAAAGGGTATCCGTGTACTCGGGGTGGCATTTGCTTCCGGCAGGTACATGTGTGTTCACATTATTTTAGAAAGAGATGCACTATTTCAAGGGTGTCAAACTCGGTTCCTGGATGGCCACAGCCCTGCAGAGTTCACATTTAATCCTAAATAAACACACCTGATCTAGCTAATCAAGTCCTTCAGGTTTATTTGAAAACTACATGGTATGTGTGTTGGAGCAGGGTTGGAACTAAACTCTTCAGGACTGCGGCTCTCCAGGAATTGAGTTTGACACCCCTGCACTATACAAACTAATTTTATTGGATATTTAATTTATATTTAGGTAATTTAATGCTCACTTTAAGTGAATCTCAATTTTATTATGAAATATTTAACATTATATATTATTGGCCATAACATCACTATAATTATCAGCTTATCAGTGTCAACAAGGATATTTTTTTTTTTATCAGACCTTTCATACTTTTGAATGGTATCTGATGTGTTTTTTTATAGAGATACACCAGTGTTCTGCTCCCTCATTAATGGTGAAGGAGAGGTTGTGGACTTCCTCAGGCTTCCTTACTTCCTGAAGAGGAGAAATGCATGGAGAGAGGATGAAAGAGAGAAAAAGGTGAAGAAATAGAAGCCCTGCAAATAATTTAATGTTCAGCTATTTAATTCCAATTGACATCAATATTGTTAGGGATGCACCGATACCGATACTGGTATCGGTATCGGGCCCGATACTGGCCTCCTGTACTCGTACTCGTACTCGTTAAAATGCCCGATACCAAACGCCGATACCACACAGCATGTGATAAGCGCCATATTCAAATTATTGCGCTTTTTGATTTAAAAAATGCTGTTTGCAAGTTTTAAACTTTCATTGGACCCCAGCATGCTGATGCTTTATTTGGATGTGTGTAGTGATGCTCATATGGTGATGGAGGACATCAAGCGCACCATCAGTGAGCTGGAGCAGGACTCCTCTCTGCCTGCGGTGGGGGTGGAGCTGGTGGACAACGAGCTGGCTGTGCTTTATATGAATGGCAAGAAGTCTGAGGTCCGTGCAATGAGATAAAATCATAAAATTTACCCATAAACCCTTGTTGAAGGCTATATGTTGTACTTTTAATACCTTTTCTAATGTTTCTTTAACATACTGCTCCTCTCATAGGCGGACTTCAGAGACTATCCACCTCTGCTTCGGCAGGCTGTGTCTGTGGCTCGCAAGATTCAGGACCCCCTAGTGGAGTTTGCCCAAGTCTGTAGCAGCGATGAGGACATCCTGTGTTTGAAACTGAATCCCCTGCAGGTACAAGCACATTCCTGCATCTCATGACCTTCTTTTTGCTATTTTCGTTTTAATACCTTTTGATTTGCTCCATGTATTTGTGAAACTCAGCCTTGAATTGTCTGTCAGTGTTATTTTAGTATAATTTTTTATTGCCATTTATAGTATCTATTCATATTTTTTTTTTAAATTTGTTTAACTTTTGACTTTTTTCATTTGTTTTAAATTGACTTATTTTAGTACTTCAGTAACTTATTTCAGTTAGTTGTCTTATTTCATTTACGGAACCCAATTTTTAATTTTAGTTAACCGTAACAACACTGACTTCTGTCCACTTTAGTATGTTTTTTCAAACAGGCTTGACATTAAGGTCAACTTGTGAATCACTTCTCATGTATAATCTTTTTAAATGTTCCTCAGGAGCATGTAGTGAAAGAGGAGCTGCTGGGTGCTCTTTACTGTGAGTTCATAAACCGGGTGAATGAGGTTGGTGTGGATGTGAACCGGGCCATAGCTCACCCTTACACCCAGAGCCTGGTCCAGTACATCTGTGGCCTTGGACCTAGAAAAGGCTCACACCTGCTCAAGGTGAGACCTTTTTCTCCAAAAATCTATTCTCATATTTGATGTTCATGCTGTTTTTCCACCTAAACAATTTACAATGTTAGTCTAGCTAAGTGTTGAGAAGTTTCTATGATGTTGATCTAAAACGATATCATGAAATGTTGAAATCATCTTCTGCATCTTTCCGATGTTCTACAGATTCTTAAACAGAACAACACTAGGTTGGAGAACCGGACCCAGTTGGTCACCATGTGCCATATGGGACCCAAAGTCTTCATTAACTGTGCTGGCTTCATCAAGATTGACACTGCCTCTCTTGGAGACAGGTAAGATGCTACACGTAATGTTTGTGAATGACCGGTAGCGCACTCTGAATTATGAAGATGTGATGAAATAATGTCTTCTTTCATCCTGCAGCACTGACTCCTATATCGAGGTCCTGGACGGTTCTCGAGTGCACCCTGAAACGTACGAGTGGGCACGAAAAATGGCAGTGGATGCTCTAGAGTACGACGAGTCGGCAGAAGATGCCAACCCAGCCGGAGCACTAGAAGAGATTCTTGAGAACCCAGAGAGGCTGAAGGACCTGGATCTGGATGCCTTCGCTGAGGAGCTGGAGAGACAGGTGAACTTTGTTATAATGTTGTATAGTTCACTTGTGTATATTTTGTTAGCAGAGGCATTTATCCCAAGCGGCATATGAGGACGTAAGCGATACTTGACTTAACTAAACAGTTATTTATTGTTATTTATTGTTTCTTTCTTTCAGGGTTATGGTAATAAGGGAATTACGCTGTATGACATTCGAGCGGAGCTTAGCTGTAGATATAAAGATTTGAGAGCTCCGTACAGGCCTTCCAACACGGAGGAGGTCTTTAACATGCTCACCAAGGAGACTCCTGAGACCTTCTATATAGGTAAATACTACCTGAGCATGTTTAGATATTTTAAAAACATCACAGAGTAATCTATAGTTATAAACCTACAGATTTACATACTTTAAAGTATTCTGTGATATTTGTGCTGCTCCTTCATATGTTTCAGTCTTGACACTGTTGGTAATATTTTCCTAAATCTCTGTGCACATATAGGTAAACTGATCACTTGTGTGGTGACTGGCATTGCTCACAGAAGGCCACAAGGTGAGAGTTACGACCAGGCCATCCGTAATGATGAGACCGGACTCTGGCAGTGTCCATTTTGCCAGCAGGACAACTTCCCTGAGCTCAGTGAGGTGGGAATTGGTTCGGTTACCTTTCCAAGGAATTAAATTTTAGCTTAGGCACATAAGCAAAGTTGCTCATATCATTGTGTTTTTCTTAGGTGTGGAATCACTTTGACAGCGGCTCCTGCCCTGGTCAAGCCATCGGAGTGAGAACTAGGTTAGATAACGCTGTCACAGGCTTCATCCCAACAAAGTTTCTTAGTGACAAGGTGGTGAAGCACCCTGAGGAGAGAGTCAAGGTGAGCAAATCTCATATTTCCTTTTTATAATCTATCTGGTGTATGTTTATAAACAATACACACCATAAATATGTAGCTTTAAAATAGATATGGAAGTCTGAGAATCTCTTGTGGACACACTGACTTTTGTCTGGTTCTCTGCTGTTAGGTTGGCATGACTGTGCACTGCCGCATCATGAAGGTTGACATTGAGAAGTTCAACGTGGATCTCACTTGTAGAACATCTGACCTGAGTGACAAGAACAACGAATGGAAGCTTCCCAAAGATACCTACTATGATTTTGATGCTGAGGCAGATGATGTGAAACAGGAAGAGGAGCAAAAGAAGAAACAGCAGAGAACCAGTCAGTATTGACCAAATGTCTTTGAGAGACATTTATTTTCAAGTGATTACTTTTTCACTGAAGTATTATGATTTTTGTTTTCTGTCTTTAGCTTACATTAAGCGCGTGATCGCTCACCCATCCTTCCACAACATCAACTTCAAACAAGCGGAGAAGATGATGGAATCCATGGACCAGGGTGATGTGGTGATTCGACCCAGCAGTAAAGGGGAGAACCACCTGACAGTCACATGGAAGGTGGCTGATGGGATATATCAGCATGTGGACGTGCGTGAGGAGGGTAAAGAGAATGCGTTTAGCCTTGGACATACTCTTTGGATCAACACTGAGGTGAGCTGTTGCTGTATGTCGCACATAAACTATTGCTTAAAAGATTGAGGTCTGAGATATATTATTTTTTAATGTTTTTGAAAGAAGCCTCTTATGCTCACCAAGGCTGCAATTATTTAAAATGTTAATATAGAGAAATATTGTTACAGTTATATAAATAACTTTTTATGTTATTATTTTTAAAAATAGAATTTATTCCTGTGATGGAAAGCTGAATTTTCAGCAGCCATTACTCTAGTCTTCAATGCCGCATGACTATTTAGAAATCATTCGAATGTGCTAATTTGGTGCTTATGGAATGGAGCATTTCTTATTGTTGAAAAAATTTGTGCTGCATAATATTTTTTTGGACCATGATGTTGTTTTTTCAGGATTCTTTGATGAATAGAAAGTTAAAAGAACAGGATTTTTTAAAATAGAAATCTTATATATATATATAGATATAGATAAAATGCCCCCTACAATTTGTACAGTTGTGCATTCATCCTTTCTTGCCTTTGTACAGAAAATGGAGGAGATTCTCATAAGGTCCAAAAAAGAGAAGCCGACATTCATCCCCTACTTCGTTTCAGCTTGTAGAGACCTGCCAGGCAAATTTCTTCTGGGTTACCAGCCTAGAGGGAAGCCAAGGTAACACTCATTACCCTAACAAAGCAGGGCACAACTCGCATATATTATGCATTCGTAAATGTTTGCATTTGTTTTTTTTTTGTTTTTTTGTAGGATAGAGTATGTAACCATCACTCCAGATGGCTTTAGGTATCGCTAGTCTTCAATGCCGCATGACTATTTAGAAATCATTCGAATGTGCTAATTTGGTGCTTATGGAATGGAGCATTTCTTATTGTTGAAAAAATTTGTGCTGCATAATATTTTTTTGGACCATGATGTTGTTTTTTCAGGATTCTTTGATGAATAGAAAGTTAAAAGAACAGGATTTTTTAAAATAGAAATCTAACGGTAGTCGTGGTTGCCTGCAGGAGTTTGAGGATCTGGATGAAATCACAGCCAGGTATGTCCAGCCTATGGCTGCATTTGCACGAGATCTGCTCGGCCACAAGTACTTCCAGGAGTGCAATGGAGGTGATAGGAAGGTGTGTTATCATTTACAGTCAATGGTCTCTTCCGCTGGTTCAAAGACCACTACCAGGATCCTGTGCCAGGTTAGTAGTCTCCATCTGCACTCCAGCTCTGGCCTAGCATTGTTATTTTTCCTTGTAATGTAATGTTTCTGTTGTCTCTCTAAAGGCGTCACACCAACCAGCAGCAGAACAAGAACACCAGCATCAGTGAACGCCACACCTGCCAACATCAACATTGCCGGTATGTCTTCCCTGAAAACAACAGGGATTTTCTCAAGTAATTCTTCTCAGAAATGTATTGTAAAATCTGTCCCCTCGCTCTCAGACTTGACTCGAGCCGTCAACGCTCTCCCGCGAAACATGACATCCCAGATGTTCAGTGCCATAGCAGCGGTTACAGGCCAGGGCCAGAATCCCAACACGACGCCGGCCCAGTGGGCCTCCAGTCAGTATGGTTACAGTGGCGGCAGCAGTGCGGGAGGCGGCGGCAGCAGCAGCGCTTATCACGTAAGAAACCTGCACCTATGCACTCAGTAACCTATTCAACTAATTGAATCAAAACCGGGCCTGCTAATATTTCATATTCCTTCCTTTCTTGTTTTTTTTCAAGGTGTTTGCAACACCCCAGCAGCCAATGGCCACCCCCATGATGACGCCCAGCTACTCTTACACCACACCTGGCCAACAGCAGGCCATGACCACGCCCCAGTATCCCAGCAGCACCCCACAGTCCTCACACGGACACCATCAGCATTCGTCCTCCACGCCATCGTCCTCGTCATCGAGAGTGCGGACGCCACAGCCCAAGTGAGTGCTACTACTGCTTTCTTGAAAATGCAAAACCATGTTTACCGTGTCACACCAAAAATTCAGTGCGATAAGCATTTTAATTTGAATGAATGGCTGTTGATGCATCTGTTCAGACCTGCACGATTGTTCACGTCAGTGCAAAATGACTTTTTACCAAAAATCTTTTCCATCACACTGCAAAAAAAGGTGGCTGCTGTTACATAAAACTATGAATTTGTGGCACTCACGAACAGACTGTTTTGCTAAATGACAGTGAATAGCCTGTTCAAGTTGAAATTGGTCACACAAATTCACCGTGCTGACCAACAGAAAACCTGTTTTCTGTGAGAGCTGTGGTTATATCGCTTCACAATGGATGGTGAACCTTTTTTGCCCACGGTAATATAGCTAATGCGACTGCATCTTTAGTCGTGTTTTTTTTGTGTGTGTGGTATCTATTATTATGACTTCTATATCGGCTTCTGTGCTTGGTACATTATCCATCACAGAATAAAGTACTAAAACTCTGTCTGTGTTCCCTGCAGGACAAGTTCCCACACTGCTGTGGATTGGGGTAAAATGGCTGAACAGTGGCTGCAGGAGAAAGAAGCTGAGCGGCGGAAGCAAAAGACGCCCCGCATGACGCCCCGACCTTCCCCCAGCCCCATGATCGAGAGCACACCCATGTCCATCGCCGGAGACGCCACTCCCCTCTTGGACGAGATGGACCGATAGGAGTAGGGAAAGGGGGTGTTCAGACATCTCATATAAAACCCAATCCATCCACATCCCATCTCTCACCCTCCGTCTTTTGCTCTTTCGCTGCTAGAAGTATTTCTTTGAGTCATTCAGAGCTACTGATACAAAGACAAACACTTGAAATGTGTTGATGACAAACAGATTTAGGAAATGGACCTACAATAAACGTTTGTCACTAGGGTTTTCCTTTTTCTTTTCTTTTTTTTTTTTTTTTTTTTTTTAAGTATGTGCATAATGCACCCCCTTTTTCATTTCAGTTTTTTAACTAAATTTAAAAGGAAAGGCTTAAAGCATGAGACGTTGCATGATTTGTGCCCATGGGAGCTGGTATTCAATCACCGTAAGATCATTAGTTCAGACCCACTCAGAGAGCTTTTCTTTCTTGTATCTGGCTTAAACATTTAAATAAAACCCTGTTTCAGTATGAACCAGAGCACTGTAATGATTCATAATCCGTGTTCTGTTGAGCTGTTACGCAAAGAATTAAGCACTGGGGAGATTTGTAAAGCTATTTTGCCATTCTTTTATCAGCTAAAAAATGAAGTATGTGACTTTGAAAGAGATCCTGTAAATGTCATGTTTTTGGGGCCATTACAGTGATCAGAACATAAGCATTTTAAATTCAGAACTGATGAAAAATGATGTTTTTAAGGTCATCTTTGAGTTTTCCAAGTTCAGAATCCGATATCACTTCTCATAATGTGCTTATACAAGTAAACTGAACTATTGTGCTAGAAGATAGAGTCCTCTGATCAGTTTTTTGCTTTTTTAGTTTGGGGGCTGTTTGTGAATGTGTCTTTGCTGGGCCAGACTTCCTCAAGGCGTTTCCACACATGCTGTTTTTTACTTCATGTACAATCCCATGTATCACTATAGACAGAAATTGTGACATTTAAGCAAAATGAACTTTATGAACAAGCTCCTTATACTGTGACAATATTTTCACACACCAAACATAGTTATGATTCGCCCACCCAGTATAGTGAATCTTCCAAGTTCTGGGAAGTGTTTCTGACCTGATCATGTGTTCTTTTAGTACTGTTTGTGAATGTGTCTTTGCTGGGCCAGACTTCCTCAAGGCGTGTCCACACATGCTGTTTTTTACTTCATGTACAATCCCATGTATCACTATAGACAGAAATTGTGACATTTAAGCAAAATGAACTTTATGAACAAGCTCCTTATACTGTGACAATATTTTCACACACCAAACATAGTTATGATTCGCCCACCCAGTATAGTGAATCTTCCAAGTTCTGGGAAGTGTTTCTGACCTGATCATGTGTTCTTTTAGTACTGAGGCTAAACTATGCCTTTAGGTCAGGAAGTGAGCTCAGTGTCTAAATCGTTCTGTTCGGTGTATTTCACTGCTGGCATCCATTTCATTTCTTTCCTTTGATAAAGTTGTCAAAATTAAACACTTCTGATTCAAGTGTTTTTATTTGCTTTAAACATCTGTTCCTTAACAGTCTTTACTGATTTCAGTTAGTAGAGTGTTTGTCTTCAAGCTTCAGATAATTAATTTCAGACAGCTGTGATTTTAAGATGCAACTAAAGAGACTGTGAAGTTTTCCATGTGACGTTCGTTGGTATTTTAATGTCTTTGCTTAAGAGACAAGTAGCTTCCGTGAACTGTCAAATGTAAGGCACAGCTACAAGTGGACAAAAATACCAACAATTGAAATTGACACTTTTTGGGGATTTTATCCTTTATTCTCTCATGAAGACTTGAGGGGACATTTCAGTACAGAATATAATGGTTTTCAAGTGGGCTGTTTGTTGAGCTGCTCATTTTTGCTTCACAATTTTCGCTTGAGTGATACTTCTCTATTTACATCTTAACAATCCTTCCATTTAGCTCACAGTGTCGGCGCAGTCGGCAGCAGAGCCTGTGGTCACGAGTGCTGGCATATGTATCATATTAGCCAGAGAATCTCATGATGCAATTAAAAACAAGGGCTGCATTTACAAAATATCCACTCAGAACCGCCAGGAGGGCATTTAATGTGACCTCTTAAGTATTCTGCACATAAGCACTAGGAAAAAGCAAATGTAAAGGCAGAACTCATTACCATCAAATGACAGGGATTTGCATCGCTTTATGTAATAGACTTGAGATGCCAGTAAATGACACCAAGTATTTATAGATAAGATTTACAGATTTAAATCTTTATAAGACACTGCTTGGAACAAAACACGTTTTTGGACAAAACTACTCACTTGATCCTGGTTATTTGATAGTCTAAGACAAACTCAATTACTGTGTATCCACATAATAATCATGTAATACAATCATGATACAGAAAAATGCTTTCAAATTCATAACTAAAAAACACATGAAATATATCATGGATTCATTGGTACATTTCTGATTACAATCCAAATTTCACTTTCAGATGAATTCTTGTTGAGATTCCCTCGTCTCACTGGCCAAGTCCTCTGTGTGTATTATTTTTTTCTTCAACTCAAAGATGTGCATCAGGGCATTATGGGACATCATCCCAAAGTCTTGTGTTCAAGGATCACTTCTATTGCCATTTGAACGTTACATACTTTTAGTCAACGACAGCAGCTGGATTGCCTCTTCTTAAAAATGTCATCACAATTGTTAGAGATATCTGTGAAGAAAAGATGCATATATTCTTTTCTGTATGGCCATGGTGAAATATTTTCAGGGTAAAACATGGAAATAAAATGTTTATAATTAGCTATATTTTGATGTAATGAAAGAGAACTTACTGACAATATCACTAGCTTGTCTAGAATTGTTCCTCTCCAGCTCAGATAACACAGTCGCCTCAAATGTAAGTGATGCAACCCGTAGGAAAAAATCTCTCACACTTTCCCCTGTAAAGGACACCAGAAATAATACATAATATTTCATGTCATATGTTACTTACACAACCAGTAAAAAGTTCAGAATCATTCAGATTTTTTAATGTTTCTGAAAGAAGTATCTTGTGCTTTACCAAGGCTTATTTATTTGATCAAATGTACAATAACAACATTAATAATGTAAAATACTATTAAAATTGAAAATAACTTTTCTATTAGAATATATTATAAATTGTCATTTATTCCTGGGAATTGTCAGCAGCCTTTACTCCAGTCTTCAGTGTCACATGATCCTTCGGAAATCATTCTGATTTGGTGGTCAATTATTAATAATGGTTCTTAATATTATCAATGTTGAAAACAGTTTTTGCTTAAAGTTCAAAAGAACATATATTTGAAATTGAAATATTTTGTATTGTAAATGTCTTTACTGTTACTTTTGATCAATTTAATGCATCCTTGCTGAATAAAAGTTAATTTATTTTTTAAAACCTTACTTACCCCAAACTTTTGAATAGTAGTTTATCACAATATTTCACAATAATGCTGTTTTTACTGTATTTTTATTAGCCTTTGTAAGCCTTGTAAGAATTTTTTTATGTATTTTATGTATACATTTTATGTATGAAACTACATCTAGATATTATTTTGAACTGCTTTTGACCTCACGTATTTCTGACATCAGCTCAGACAAACAAACTAGTTTAATTGCAAACAAAACACCTGTGTTTAAAGTCTTTAAAACAGACATGTTCCTCTACCTGACAGCGCAGACACGGCCCAATACTCTGCTCTGATCTCCTCTGAGATTTGAACGGCTTCTTGCTCCATTTGAGCCAACTGATCTGGGTGCTATGGGAGAGAAAGATTCATCTAGTTACCGCAAGGAATTGTCAATGTAATTTCATGCATCCGTATCCTTTTTTCTTTATGAAAAAGTTAATGCGACCCTTCTGTGCCAACATCATGTGAAAGTCACAGTGTGGCGATGGATTTTTAAAGGCTTCGAAGAGATACACTGAAAATAACTCACACTAAGATCCTTTTTGGTTCCCACGAGGAAGAGGAGGACACTAGATGGGTCATTGTCTCTCATGGCATCTTCAAGCCACTCTCTGAATAAACAGAGACAAGTGGGAGAAAACCGACAGGATTCATGACTATTCAGACAGTGTTTCAAACCAAGCAAGTGATCATACTGTACCTTGCATGATCCAAAGAGTTATAATTGCTCAGGTCAAAGACAACAATGATGGCTGGAAACAAAAGATAGATTGTTTTTACACAATTTTACAAATTAACAGTAAGAATATGCTTAGTATAGTCTGTTTTATTACCTTGAGCTCCTCTGTAGTATGCGGATGCAATGCATCGGAATCTTTCCTGACCTGCTGTGTCCCACCTGCAGAGAGAGAGAGAGATTCGTGATCGAAGGATGCAACCATATGGATGACTGTTAAAGCAATAAAATACACAAAACTCACAACTGCAAACTGAAGGGCACCCCGAGGACCTCAAATCTCTCCATCTCAAAATCCACTCCAATAGTTGCTTTGTATGTCTTGTCAAATGTGTCTTTGCAGAATCTTGACGACAGAAATAATAACAAATGTAGTCACTCAAGCATTTATACATTTATTTTTTTATTTTTTTCAGTAAAAGCACAATGAGATCTGAACTGAGAAAAGGTAAATTAACATGAGAGACTTTTACCTGTTTATTAAACAGGTCTTTCCAACTCCTACATCACCAACAACAATGACCTTGGCTACATTCAATCTGGAAATGAACATTTACAATAAAATAATGTTCATTCATAGTACATTACACATCTGTATTATATCCAGTCAAAACCACTCTTGTTTGTTTATGAAGTTTTGTCTGCATTGTGGGGACCAGCAACCCCCCACTACAACAGCAAAACAAATGTTTGTATGTGAAAGAGAGAAAAAGAGTAACTTACCCTGTTTTCTGTCCTTGACATGCATCTTTAACGGTAATGTTGAAGCCATCTTTGGTGTGCACTGCAGCGTCCCTTGTAAAGTACTGAATAATAGACCAATAGAAATGTGTTAGGTTAGACTTAAAAAAATTACAACAAGACAAAACAAAGAAAAAACACCTTTTACATAATAATCCTGTCCATCTGAGTCCAGCTTATAACACTCACTGGGTGATTGAAAACAATAATCCTCTAAAATGAATGTGTTTTGAGCAACAAAACAGCTAGGGAGTAGACAAAATTAATATCTAACTAAAAATACAAAAGTGTTACCAAAGGGAGTTCACAGATGATCCTGTTTCCTTTCACATGGGGTAGAGAGTTCATCATGTGAGAGCTTTAACAAGACCACACCAAAACAACTGCAAACACTCAACCATTCTGTCCGGTGACTAGTGGGATTAATAAACATAATAATAACAACGATAATATATTAAAATAAAAACAGTAAATAACACTAACATTAATGAAAAATTAACATGCTGCTGTATAATATAAAAGAAATTTTGATGTTAAAACGCCAATATTTAAAAAAGCTATACAAATGTATATTAAGGAATAAATAAATACAACTTACCTTAAAAGGCAGAAGGCTTTTTTTTACATTCTACAAGTAGCCTATTTTAGACTTGACAGTAATTTAGCCGACACATTTTTGTTGTTGAGGCAAATATTATAGTAGGCTCTTAGGTTCTTTTGTGACAAATGCATGAAATAATACAAAGTAATCGTTTAAAAGTAACTTTTTGCTTTCACTGCGTGACTGTGCTCAACATAAGCCCCGGTCTCCTGTGGCTGCGCTCGATATTTACAGTACGCAAGTGAACTACAAAACCCATATTGCCTAGCGATGTTCTCGCGATGACTGCGTGTTTTTATACAGTCTATGGTGTTAACGTGAACCCCTGAGCATCGAATAATTATTTAAGTAGGAATATTTGTGTATATACGTGTGTAAGAACAGGAAAAGCAAAAACAAGGAAGAAATTGATAATAAATAAACCATGACTGCATAACAGCAAAAGTAGGTGGCGATATGCACACAGGATGTAACACGCCAAAAAACGGAAGAAGAAGAACGTGAACCCCTGCGATATACTGAAGGAAACCCGTGTCGTTCTTCCTTTCCCAACATGGCCCCGAAGGCGAAGAAGGAAGGTGCGTTAGGTTTATAGATTTGATTGTGTATAAATTAGGTTTATTGTGATTATATACAGTTGCGGTTTCCCTTAAATGTAGCTGATATAGGTATGTTTGTCTCTAGCTGTTTAATTAGGCGTCTGGAGTGAAATAACATCGTTTTGATGCTAGAAGTGCCGGAATGAGACGTCCTTAGTCACAACCGCGGCTAGCAAGCTAACATAATTGAGCAGCATGCTCTCGCAGCCTCATTATATCAGACTGTCCGAGTGTTAAACCCATTAGCCAGTTGTCATAAACTGGTTGTTTACGTTCTACTTGGATTGTACAGAGTACAATATAAGTAAATGACAGCTTGTCATCGTTAGCTAGACACACACACGTGGCTAACGTTGCCCATATCTGTCTATTTCTCATTCATTACCAGTCAGTTTAGTTAATAGGAGTCTTTAAATCAGCCCCGAGAACAATATTGTTTTGAAATGTTATCACATTTTTGTGCATTTTATAGCTGCTGCCTGAATGTAAACACGGTAATACCCATTTACAAATGATGTGCCTTTGAAAGTCTCGCAATTTTTATTGTAACGCAATTAAATGCTTATAAGGGACGTAAAACCGCAGGTTGGACAACTTTATACTCATTCATTGTATGCCATATAGACTGGTTTGTTAATATTGCATTATCATAATTGTTAAAATGTTTCTACAGCTGTCCCGGCTAAGACTGAGGCCAAGTCCAAGGCCCTTAAAGCCAAGAAGGCTGTGCTGAAGGGTGTCCACAGCCAGAGGAAGAAGAAGATCAGGACTACCCCAACCTTCCACCGGCCCAAGACCCTGCGTCTGTTCGTACATGTATCAAACAATAGGTATTGTCGATTTCATATAGCTAGATTAAAAGCTGAGGGAATGGTCAACCTCTGCAAATGTAAACTTAAGTTACTGCCTGAATGTTACTGTGATGCATTCAGAAGAACCACTGATGCTTTGTATTGTCTTTCTTTTTCAAAACATTTGTGCTGTGACCTGTTCTGATTGTCATCTTTTTTTCCTGCAGATTGGCATCATCTAAAGTGCTTTTGGTCAGATGTACAGAAGAATAAATGTTTGTAAAAACTATTTTTGTTTTTGTGGCTTTATTTGCTTACATTTCTGGAATTTCAAGGTTTGAGAATAGGTTTGGTTAAAGGGGTCATATGACGTTGCTAAAAAGAACATTATGTTGTGTATTTGGTGTAATGCAATGTGTTTATGCGGTTTAAGGTTAAAAAAAAGGCAGTGTCCCCGCACATCGCACCGCGTAAACATAAAATCATGTCGTTGTCCTCTTTTGAAAGGCCAAAAAAAGTAGTTTCGCTTTCACAACGAAACGCACAGCGTCACACACGGCGGGTTAGAATGAGCGGCGGACGGCGGGCTTGCGACAACCACATGTGACGACCCCGGGCTGGACTCCGCTTCGTCCACAGTG